TGGCTGCTTTCTGTCATTGTATTGCTCCTAGCATTTTTTGAATTATCTTCAGCAAAATTTGACTTGAGTATGATATTAATGATGTTGCTTGATGATTTTCACACTTCTCTTTGGAACGGGCACAAATATGGATCTCTTCCAATCCAATACCTGGTTGGCAAGGTAGCAGTTTTCTAAATAACTTGGCATAAATGAGTGAGCGCCTCCAGTGCTGCTTCAGTTTGTTGAAACATTTCCATTTGTTTTCTGTGAATTCCTGGAGTTTTGTTTTTCGCCAGTGCCTTCAGTGAAGCTTGGACTTACTTAGTGTACCATAGGTTCTTGATCATATGCTACTTCTTGAAATGGTTATTTCACTGCTTTTTGGCACACTGACTCTATGTGCCTTCCATCTTTTGATAATTTCTGGACCATTCAATATTTTCTCCATAGAATCCTTCAATATTACATGTCAAGGCTTGAAATTTTTCTTCAGTTCTTTGAGCTTACGAAATGCTGAGTGTATTCTTCCCTTTTGGTTTTCTAACTCCAGATCTTTGAACATGATAACATTATAATACTTGACTTTGTCTTCTTGACCTATCATTTGAAATTTTCTTTTCAACTCTTTTACCTCCTCATTTCTTCCATTTGCTTTAGCACCTCTATGCTGTAGTCTCTTCTAACATTATTATTTTGTTCTTATCCTTCTTTCTTGCCTTTTTATTGACCTTTTACTTTTCTTCTTGTATGATGCTCTTGATGTCATCCCACAGCTCTTCTGGCCTTTGGTCTTTAGTGTCTAAGGTGTCATCTCTGTTCAGATGATGTATAAATTCTGGTGGGATATATTCAGGATCATATTTTGGTTCTTGTGGTCTTGTAATTTTCTTCAGCCTGACCTTGTATATGAGCAGTTGATGGCTTGTTCTACAGTCTGTCCTGACCTTGTTTTGACTGATGATATGAACTTTTCTGTTGTTTCTTCCCACAGAGGTAATCAGTTTGATTCCTGTGTATCCCTTCTGGTGAGTTTCATGTATCTAGTTGCCTTTTATGTTGTTTAAAAAAAGACATTTACAATGAATAAGTCATTGGTTTTACAAAAGTCTTTCATATAATCTCCAGCATAGTTTTTTATCATCAAGGCGGTATTTACTAATTGCTTACCCTTCCTCTTTGTTTCCAACTTTGACATGCCAATCGCCAGTCGTTGTCACTGCATCTTGATTTCACTTTGGATCAATTTCACACTGAAGAACGTCACTGGCTTTAGTGGTTGGGTGAATAGATTTGAACAGTAGTGGTACTGACTTGGTTCCTTGTAGGTGTGTGGATAGTATTTGGTCACACATAGCATTGTACTTCAAAATTGATTTTGAGATGCTTTTTTTGACAATGAATGTGACACCATCCTCTTCAGTTTGTTGTTCTCAGCATAGTAAACTATTAGATTTTCCAATTTTAAGTGACCAGTAGCAGTCAATTTTAGTGCGCTACTGCAAAGTCAATTGTTCAAGTTCACCAGCCGCTCCTCAGAAATCCTATATAAGGTCTCTATGAGTTGGAACCGACTTGACGGCACTTAACAACAACAATGCCTAGGACATCGATCTTTATATGTTGCATTACATTTTTGATGACTTCCCAGTTTTCCTAGATTCATACTGCATTCTTTCCACATTTCTGTTATTAATATTTCTTCTCATTTTGAGTTGTGCCCCACAGCAAATGAAGGTCCTGAAAACTTTATGAAACTTCACACCTCATCTGTCAGTTTGTAATAGTGTGGTGGCTTGTGTGTTGCTGTGATGGTGAAAGCTATGCCACTAGTATTTTAAATACCAGCAGGGTCACCCATGATTGGACAGGTTGCAGACTAGGAAGAAGGAGGGGTGGGTCACTTATGTATGGTTAGTCACTGAAACCTTATGAATAACAGCAGTTTGTATGAAACACTTCCTTTTTCAAGTATACTTGCATCCTTTCCTGTAGGTGAATTCATCATTGTCCTTCATACTCTTTGCAAAGAAACTTCTCAGTAGTTTCCAGTGTTTAACTGCTTGCGCACATTTTTGCTGTTACTTCATATTATTGCTTTCAGGGTAGCTTCTGTGATTAGTTCGCCCTGGTTCACATTTACCTTTGCAGTTTACCCTCTTTGGTCCTGTTTAATTTCTCAGTTTCTTATCCCATAATGGGGATAATCATGTTCACAGTTCATTTTTTAAAAATGTGACTAGAGGAGAAAATGCATGCAAAGAGCTTAATTCAGAGTAAATGGCAAAGAGAGGAGAGGTTAGCTATCATTTTCTCTTTGAATCAGTCTCTTAGATTGTTATGCTATTAGCCACCATCAAGTCGGTTCCTATTCATAGTGACCCCCATGTCCCAAGAGTCCTCATAGTCTTTGCTATGTTTCAGCTACTGGCTCAGACCATCTCTTGAGGGTCTTCTTGTTTGCTGACCTTCCGTTGCACTGAGCATGAAGTCCTTCTCAAGGATCTGGTTTTTCTAAAGTTTGGGAGAGGTGCTTCCAAAGAGCATTAGTTTGTTTTTCTGGTAATCCATGGCATAGTCCGTATTCCTTGCCAACACCACACAGTTCAAAGGTATCGATTCCTCTTCAGTCTCCCTTATTCATTGCTTTCACATGCACTTAAAGCAGTTGAAAATAACGATGGTTTGGTTTCCAAGGAGCAGCTGCTGAGCTTGAACCACCAACCTTGTGGTTCAATGACTTTGAAGTCTGACACATTAGCCCATAGCACCTTCAAAGTGACATCTTTGTTTTTGAAAAGAGGTCTTTTGCAACAGATTTCTCCAATACAGTAAGCCCTTAGATTTCTTGATGAGTGTGATTATAGATCTAAGTAAAAGAATCTGAGTAAAATGAAACCTTTGATGACTTCAACCATTTCTCCAGATCTTATTTATTGGTCTGGTGGTGAGATTTTTTTTTTCTTTGCATTGAGGTATAGTCAATGTGAAGGCTGTAGTCTTTGATCTTCATCAGTTAAGTGCTTCAAGTCTTGTACCCCTCCAGCTAGCAAGTTGTGTCATCTACATATTGCTGGTTGTTAATGATGCCACATTTTTCTTCATATAATCCAGCTTCTCAGATTATATGCTCAGCATATAGATTTAGTAAGCATGGTAAAAGGTTACAACAATCCCGATGCACACGTCTCCTGATTGTAAGCTGTGCAGCTTTTCCTTGTGCTTGTCTAACAACTTCCTCTTGGACTTACAAATTAATTCTGCATGAGCTCAGTAAGGTGTTCTGGAATTCCCATTCTTCACAATGTTATCCTTAGTTTGTTGTAATCCACACAGTTGAATGCCTTTGCATATGAAATCAGACACAATCAACATCCTTCTGATATTCTTTGCTTTCATCCAAGATCCAAGTGATGTCAGTAGTGATATCTATGCCTCATTCCATGCTTTCCTCTGAATCTGCCTTGGATTTCAGGCAGCTCCCTTTTGATGTATTGCTCACAACCATTTTTAAATTATCTTCAGCAACATTTTAATTGCATGTGATGTTAGTGATATTGTTGAATAATTTCCACATTAACTGTTGGGTCACCTCTGTTTGGAATGAGCATCACTGAGTTCTTAGATGTCTGTCTTCACTCTTCTGGATGATCTCATTCATTCTGAAGACTATGCTGATGATCCTTCAAATGATCTCTCAAAGCTTCAGACTTGTGTATCGGACTAATAGTAAAGTGAGTTTGGATACGATGATTATACTCATTTTGGGATGAGAAACTAAGAAAGTAATGGAACAGTTTTCTCTATTACTGTCCAAACCAGTAGCCTTTTTTACCTGGGCAGTTCTATAAGGAGTATTCTCTTTAGTGATCTATTAGTTTTTAGGCTTATCCCCTACAGTCCATTCACCATATGTTGTGTGCTGCTGAATTGATTTTCACTCATAGCAACCCATGTGACAGAGTGGAACTGCTCCAAAAGGTTGGCAGTTCAAACTCACCAGCTGCTCCTGGGAAATGCTATATAGGGTTGCTGTGAATTGGAACTGACTCGATAGCACTTCACAACAACTACAATCGTTGTGGAAGGAGAGGAGACCACCAGATCACAGAGCCTCTGGCTAGATTCAGATCACCAGTCCCTTCTTTCCCTTAAGTGTGTTGCTTCCATCTCTTCTTATTTGCTGTGTACGAGAGCAAGAGATTATTTTATGCTGTTCTTATTGAAATTAGAGGAATATTCAACAGTCTTCAGAGTTGTCCACGACCTCTCCCCTCTCTCACTATTTTCATGGTATCTCTCAAACCCAGAAAACTTAATTGCTATCTTAAGGCCTTCACATTAGCTATTTCTTCTATTTGGAATATTTTTCTCCCACATCTTCATCATACTGACTCCTTGCAAAATTTAGGTTTTAGTTCAGATATGTACTCCTCAGAGAAGCTTGCCCCCGACATCCTCCCTTCTATTCTTTATAGCTGATTTTCCTTCAGAAGCTGTCCCTTCCCACCCCAAAAGTATCGAAGTTCCATAAAGCAAGGATTTTATCCATCATTTCAATGCTGCATTTCCAGTGCTTAGAATGGAACCTAACACCCAATACTATTCTATGGATGGGTGGGTGGGTGGGTGGAAGGAAGGAAGGAAGGATGAATGAAATATATTTCTGTTAGATCTTCTATACCCAAGAAAATAATGCATTATTTCATCTACTACAAACTTTGTATAGATGCGTATTTAAAAGTTAACCATGTTAAGAGTTTGTGTCTCCCCCCACCCCCGCACTTTTCCCTGCCTTCCCTATTATAGATTGTAAATCCTCAAGGGCAAGAAATACATGTCTTAATAGTATGTGAGATGGCATTTGGGTACTTAATGTTGACTGAGTTAAATTGAAAATTGAATCTTAACAGCTCTATTTCCCCTGATGTTGTTGTATTCATGTGTCATTATTTTGTTTTGTTTTTAAAGTATGTAAAACAGGTGTGTTTGACATATGCCTTCTTCGTGTATTCTTGCAGTTCATAATTGGACTCTGGAGGACACTCTTCAGTGGTTGATAGAGTTTGTTGAACTACCCCAATATGAAAAGAATTTTAGAGATCATAATGTGAAAGGGACGACACTTCCCAGGTGAGTCGTTACTTGGTGAGCCAAATGTATTTCCCACTAGTGGAGAATTGCAGATTAGGTGTTTTGAGTCAGTGCTGACTCTGCAAATTTACTCTGATGAATGAAGGCACAATGAAACTAATTATATACATTCTTTTTTTTTTTTTTTTAATATATATATAAATACATTTTTTCTTTCTAAGTCATCATCCCACACCTTCCTTTTATATTCTTAAGGAAAGTAATTTTGAGAGTTACAAGGTAAATCAGATGCATGTTTCTTGATAACATCAGAGGGTCAGCCTCTGAGCAGTGGTAAATATATCAAAGCCTATTCATCTGTCTTGATCCACCTTATGAATAATTGATGTACACTGATGTCAGAATTGATGTTCTTTTAATAACAGTGATAACTACTTAAAAGAATAGTGGCCTTAAGTTTTACCTCAATTTAAAAACACAACCCGACACTTGTTCCCCTCCCCATCCTCTACTCCAAAGAAGCCCACTGCCATTAAGTTGATTCCAACTCATGGCAACACTGTGTAGGGCTTCTGAGGCTGCACATCTTTATGGGCACAAAAAGCGTCCTGTTTTTCCTACAGAGTGTCTTGTGGGTTTGAACTGCCAAACTTGAAGTTAGCAATCCAATGCTTATCCTACAGCATCACCAGTTTAGTAATAAGTAATATTCCCCTCCTCCATGCTGAGCAAATAATCTGAAAAGCTAGATTATATGAATAAGAATTTGGCAACAGGATGGCCATTAACAACCTAAAATATGCACGTGATACAACCTTGCTTGCTGAAAGCAAAGAGGACTTAAAAATATCACAGCCTTTGTTATGGGGTTGCACCTCAATGTCAAGAAAACAAAAATCCTCACAACTGGAGCAATTAAATAAGATGGAGAAGAGATTGAGTTTGCCAAAGACTTCATTTTGTTTGTATCCATAATCAGAAGATATAGTGCATTAGGTAAATCTGCTGCACAAGACCTCTTGAACACTTGTTCAAGAGCAAAGATGTCAATTTGACAACTAAAGTGTGCCTGAGCCAAGCCATGGTATTTTCAGTAGCCTCATATGCATGTGAAAGTTGGACAATGAATAAGGAAGACAATAGAAGAACCTACCACTGGTCTGTCAATCTATTGTACTGTAGTAGCTTGCGTGCTGCTGTGATTCTGGAAGCTATACCACTGGTACTGTAAATACCAGCAGAGTCACCCATGTTGGACAGGTTTCCAGTCGAAGACAGATTAGGAAGAAGGACAGAGGGACTACTTCTGAATATTTAGTCACTGAAAACCTTATGAATAGTAGTGGAAAACTGTCAGATAGCACCAGAATATTAAATACTGAAACATGGTGAACAGCACCAGACTACTGTCAGATATAGTGCTGGAAGACGAGCCCTTCAGATTAGGAACCACTCAAAATGTTACTGGGGAAGATCTGCCTTCTCAAAATAGAGTTGATCAAAATGACGAGAATGGAGTAAAGCCTTCGGGACCTTCATTTGCTGATGGGGCACAACTCCGTATGAAGAAAAATGGCTGTAAACATGTATTAATAATTTGAACATGGAATGTAGAAAGTATGATTATAGGAAAATTGGAAATTGTCAAAAATAAAATGAAATGCCTAAACATCAATATCCTAGGCATTAGTACTCTGAAATGGACTGATATTGGCCATCTGGCAATAGCATGGTTTACTGTGCCAATAATGACAAACTGAAACATTGTATTCATCATCAAAAAGAACATATCAAGGTCTGTCTTGAAGTACAATGCAGTCTGTGATAGGATAATATCCATACACCTGCAGGGAAGATTAGTTAATACCAGTTATTGACGTTTAAACACCATCCACTAAAGCTATTGATAACGAAATTGATCAAACATGCAATCAAAATGTATTGATTGTTCCTGGCAATTGAATGCAAAGGCTGGAAACAAAGAAGTCAGATCAGTAGTTGACAAATAATGGCCTTGGTGATAGAAACAGGGCTGAAGATCACATGATAGAATTTTGCAAGACCAATAACTTATTCATTGTCTTTTCTGTTGCTTAAAAATGGTATTTGCAATCATACACATGGACCGCACCAAATGGAATCAAACAGAGATCAAATTGACTACATCTGTGGAAAGATATGGTAGGAAAGCTCCATATCATCAGCTAAAACAGACCATCAGTTGTTCATACACAAGTTCAGGCTAAAGCTGAAGAAAATGAAAAGAAATCCACAAGAGCCAAAATATGAACTTGAGCATATCCCACCGGAATTTGTACATCATCTGACTAACAGATTTGATGCATTAGACACTAAAGACTGAAGATCAGAGAGTTGTGAGATGATATCAAGAACATCATACAGGAAGAAAGCAAAAGGTCATTAAGAAGACAAGAAAGAAGGTAAAGAACAAAATGGGTGTCAGAAGGGACTCTGCAACTTATTATCCTTTGTAGAGATGTTAAAGCAAATGGGAGAAATGAGGAGGTAAAAGAGCTGAATAGAAAATTTCAAAGGGCAGCATGAGAATACAGTCAAATGTTGTACCAAAATGTACAAGGACTTGGGGTTAGAAAACTCAAAAGGGAAGAACATGGTCAGCATTTCTCAAGCTAAGGGAACTAAAGAAAAAAATCAAACCTCAACTTACATGATTGAAGAATTCTGTTGGCAAAAAAACAGAGTCCTGATGTGGCGCTCTGGGTTAATTTGCTGGGTTGCAAAGTTGATTTGAACCACAAGGTTGCGATTCAATCTAACCAGCTGCTTCCTGGAAACCCTATCAGGGTGCTATGGGTAAGAACTGACTCGATGTCACTTAACAGCAACAACAACATGGCAAAAATATTGAATGATGCACAAGCCATCAAAATAAGATGGGAGGAATACATAGAGTCACTGTCCCGTAAAGTAATGGTCAATGTTCAGTCCTTTCAAGAGGTACAATATGATCAAGAGCCAGTGATACTGAATGAAGGAATTCAAGGTGCATTGAAGGCAATGAGAAAAATCAAGGCTCTGAGAATTAATAAAATACAAATGAAAATATTTTAAGAAACTGATACCTCACTGGAAGCACTCACTCATGTATGCCAAGAAATTTGGAAGACAACTACCTCGCCAACTGATTGGAAGAGATCCATACTTGTGCCTGTTCCATAGAGAGGTAACCCAACAGAATGTGGAAATCATCAAACAATATCATTAATAACGTATGCAATTAAAATTTTGTAAAGATCATTCTAAAACAACTTGCCAACTTGACATTGACAGAGAACTTCCAGAGGTTCACGCTGGATGCAGACGAGGACATAAAACAAAGGGGTATCATTGCTGACGTCAGATAACTCTTGGCTGAAAGCAGAGAATACCAGAAAGATGTTTACGAGTGCTTTATTGACATGTAAAGGCTTTGGATTGTGTGGCTCATGACAAACTATGGACAGTATTGTGGAGAATGAGTATTCCGGAGCACTTAATTGAGTATTCTGGAATACTTAAATTGTCCTCATGAGGAACCTGCGCATGGACCAGGAGGCAGTTGTTTGAACAGAACATGGGAACTACCAAATGACTTAAAATTAGGAAAGATGTTTGCCAGGGTTGTATTCTGTCACCATACTTATTGAGTCCATATGCCGAACACATAAGCTGAAAAACTGGATTATATGAAGAATGTTGCATCAGGATTGGAGGAAGAGTCGTTAACAACCTGAGATATGCAGATGATATAACCTTGCTTGCTGAAAGTGAAGAGGACTTAAAATACTTACTGATCAATATAAAAAACTATAGTCTGTAGTATGGATTGCATCTCAATGTAAAGAAAACAAAAAATCTTCACCAGTGGACCAATAAATAAATAACATCAAGATAAATGGAGAAAAGTTTGAAGTTGTCAAAGACTTCATTTTGCTGGGATCAACCATCAACACTCATGGAAGCAGCAGTTAAGAAATCAAATGATGTATTATTTAATTAGGCATATCTGCTGCACAAGACCTCTTTATAGTGCTCAAAAGTAAAGATGTCAATTTGAGGACTAAGGTGCGCCTGATCCAAGCCATGGTATTTTCATTAACCTCATATGCACGTGAAAGTTGGACAGTGAATAAGGAAGATCGTAGAAAAATTGATGCATTTGAGTTATGGTCTTAGGGGCGAATATTAAAAGTGCTGTGGACTGTCAAAACAACAGACCAATCTATGTTGGAATAAGTACAGCTAGAATGCTCCTTGGAAGCCAGGATGGCCAGACATCCTTTCTAATACTTAACAACATTTTATCAGGAGGGACCAGTCCCTTCAGAAGGACATCTTGCTAGGTAAAGTAGAGGGTCAGCAAAAAAAAGGAAGACCCCCTAACAAGATGGGTTGGTACATTGGCAGCAACAATGGGCTTAATTCTAGCAGCAATTGTGAGAATGGTGCAGGAACGGGTAGTCTTTCGTTCTGTTGAGCATAAGGTAGTCATGTGTTGGAACCCACTCAGCACCACCTAACAACTCCCACACTGTCATTCAGTCTATATCAACTCATAGCAACAATACAGCACAGCATCGAACTGTCCCTTAGGGGTTTCTACGACTGTGAATCTTCATAAAAGACGACTCCCTGGGAGCCACTGGTGGGTTTGAACCACTGATGTTTTGGTTGGCAGTTAAGCACTTTAGCCACCGCACCACCAAGGAAATATTAAACAAAACCCACTACCTTCAAGCCGAATGTGACTCACAATATGTAGTGCTGTGAGTATAGTGTTTCTTGAGCATGTAGACCTTTACACGAACAGACCACTTCAGTTAGCAGCCCAATACCTCGTCCCTGGTACCACCAGGGTTCCTTAAATAAATAGCACCCATTTTATAGCATATATTAGTTAGAGAGACTTTATGTTAAAGCTTTATTAAATAATGTCTTCATCTATTTCCATTTTATAGATGAAAAAACAAGTCAGGCAAGTATTTTGTCTAAGGCCGTTATCTGAACCAATAGATTTGATATCAAAGTCCAGAGTGACGTTCCTCTCTTAGATGTTTTTCACTTCTTAGATTTTTTGCTGCTTTTGTAAATTATATTGTGTAACTAGTCCTTAGCTGACTTTATGATGTTAAAATGATTCCACGAGACCTTTTCCTTGACAAAATTTCTTTTTATGTTCAGTTTCTCCATAGAGATTTAAATTTAAAAAGGCCTAATTAATCACTTATTAGTTCCTTAATATAACTAGTTAATTAGTACAAGAGGTGAAATGTACATATTGTATCCCTGATCAATTTGATTCCATGTTGTTGTTGTGTGCCATTGAGTTGTTTCCAACTCATAGTGACCCTGTTTAGGGTTTTCTTGCATTTAGCAGAGCAGGAGCAGTTCTTATTTTACGTTTCCACAGAGAGTCAACTTAGGGTTAATATCAGTTAACTAAACTAGTATCTAAGGGTCAGAGCTCTATGTTAGGTCATTGATGAAGTAAGAGCTAATTTATTGTAATATATAAGAAACTGTATTGCACGTTCCAGACGATTGACCTATTCTTGTTGTGAAGTGCCGTCTAGTCTATTCCGACCCATAGCAACCCTGTATAGGGTTTCCAAGGAGTAGCTGGTGAGCTTGAACCATTAGCAAATCATTGTTTTGTTTTCTTTCTATGACAATAAAACATTGTTTCATTTTATTTTTAGTTACTGATAATGTTGTAGGAACTCTGGTGGCACAATGATTAAGTGCTTGGCTGATAACCAAAAGGTCACAGGTTCAAACTAACTAACTGACGCATGAAAGAAAAAGATGTAGCAGCCTACTTCTCTAAAAGATTCCAGCCTTCAAAATCCTCTGGGCGGTTCTAGCCTCTTCTAAAACATCTGTGAGCCGAAATTGACCCCATGGCTCTAGATTGTCCTTAAGCTTTTTACTGTGGTTTCTGTACTCCATAAAGCTCTCCACTTGATGCATGTGTCCTCATTCCTTACCGAGTACATATGCTGAGCACATAATCCGAAAAACTGGATTATATGAAGGATGTGGCATCAGGATTGGAGGAAGAATCATTAACAACCTGAGATGTTCTCACCCACTCAGGTAGCCTCACTGCACCTCTGAGCTCTTAATGGATCAACTCCATCTTGCTGTTTTCTTGTCACTATATCACATTATTACCTTCCTTAAATTTAGGCTGTTGATAGTCTTGCTAATCATTCATACATGCATCCACCATGCATTCACTCATCTATTATGCAAACATTTACCAAGCATCTACTTTTGCCATGTACCATGGTAGGCTTTGGGACTGTGTAGGTAAGACGTAGTTTTTGCCTCCAGTTTGCTCAGTGTCAGCGTAAAGCATACAGGAAGAGTGCCTGTGGAGAAGATGAAGAGAAGCGTTTTGTAAAAGGGACAGTTAGTAGTTCTCTACCTGCTGAGGTTTTATAGAAACCTCATGGGGGTTCTTGTGATTTCTTTATACCCAGAGAAGAAATGAACTCATCTCTTCTGAAATCAATTATAGTGGGTCAGAGAACAGTCTTCAGAGTCATGCATATTTGGGGTTGAATTTATACCATTTATTAATTAAGGAGCTCTGGTAGCGTAGTGGTTACGAATCGGGCTGTGAACCTCATGGTCAGCAGTTTGAAACTACCAGCTATTCCTTGGGAGAAAGATGAGGCTTTCTGCTCCTGTAAAGATTTACAGCCTCGGAAACCCTGTACAGGATCGCAATGAGTCGGAACTGACTCCACGGCACATAACAACAACAACATTTACTAATTATATATCCTTGGTCAAGTTACTTACCCTCTTAGAAACTTGGCTTTCTCATTTATAAAGTGGATATATTATAATTAAGCTTTTGGCATAGGACCTGGCACATAACACATGCTTGTTTGAATGTTTCATTGTTATTGCTAGTCTTGGTGTTTATGACATCATACTTAGTCCTTTAGAAGTCTTAATTGACTATTGGGTTACTTGAATTTGCAGTCCAAAGTGATTTTGTTTCCTTATTTCACCTCTGCCTTTTCCCTTCCCCTGCTTCATAAATGAATACTAATAAAATGGTTCAGCCTTCTTACATCAACCCTAAATCTACCCACAGTGACATCTCACTTTCCACTTAGGACTTCAGTTTGCTTTGTTTGGTTTTGAAACAGTTTAAATATTAGAATGTATAGGTACAGATGTTTTAGATACATGTAAATAAAAGTGACAGACTGTCAATTGACAAGAATTTGTTACGGCTGCTATTGATGCCAGGAGTCCCTAGTGTGATGCCTTAGAGTAAGCGCTGGACTGACCTCAAGGTCAGCAGTTCAAACCCACCAGCCACTCCTTGAAAACCCTATACAGGGGCTCTATGAATTATAAATGACTTGATGGCATTTAACAACAATTGATATCAAGTCATTTATAATTTTATTGTTCTTTGTAAAAATATTATAAAATACCAAAGGCTAATTAGGAATTATAAAAGACTCTGAAATTGATAAGTTTCTAAATCATTGTAAGAAAGCAACCTTAGAAAACAAAACTGAATATAGCAAGTAAGCTATTAGCATACCAGCATCTTTCTACAACTAAACTTGTACTGGAAGGCTTCGAATAAGTGTAATATAGTATTAAATCACACGCTGATAAACTCTTGGCAGTTTTCACTAATCTGTGGAATTTTATGAATGTGTTCATGAAATATTTGTGTATATGTTATAAATATTTTCATTTAATGTATATGTGTTTTTTAAATGAACAGGATAGCAGTGCATGAACCATCATTTATGAGCTCTCAGCTGAAAATCAGTGACCGGAGTCACAGACAGAAACTTCAACTCAAGGCGCTGGATGTGGTTTTGTTTGGACCTCTAACACGTTAGTATTCTGTTTTACTCGAAAGATAATAATCACATCATCTATGTGTCGTTTAAACAAGGGAAAAGTAAGAAAGGTAGTATACCACTAGGAAAAATCTACTAGCTGTGAAAAACATCAATTAGCATCATAAAATGAAAGATTTTTAGGATAAGATGGTCTGTCATTGAAGCATGGGCTATGAAAATGGCAAAACTGGTGCTTAATGTAAACAAAAAAACTAAAAATGATTACTTGATAATTTCAAAATGTAAAACTTTAAAGCAGTCAGAATGTTGATGTGATAATTGCTGTTCACTGAAGAATCCTTTTAAGAATTGGAGCAGAAACCATCTTGATGACACGAAGTAATAGATCCTGACTCGATTTCATTGTCACCAAGAAAAGTATTGTTTAGATGAGAAGCAAACGCCCACTGAAACGCTAGAAAGCAGCAGACTTTCCTAGCAGAAGGTGGAGAATGTGATGTGATTGTTCTTCAGATTGTTTGGAGGAGGATCACTTAACGAAGTGTTATATCATATTTGTAAGGAAAATAAGCCTTGTATTTCTTTACTTTGATGGGAATATTTCCCCCTCCCCCAGGAGGGACACTTAATATGCTTATTTTATTTTATCTCAAATTTCAGAAAGCTCTGGGGGAAAGTGTTTGAAGAATACACATTTTAGAAGGAATGGTATTTTTCAGAAGCCAGAAAGGAATAAAAACAATTAATGCTAAAAACTAATGAGGAAACGAATGCTTATGCAGCCTGAACTCTTGGACTTAGGAGAGTTCTGGGCTCTCTAGCATCTTGGAGGTGACCCTGCTGTAAACAGGTTATGGGAGTCATGGGATGGATTCCTTGGCTTTACTGGTGGTGCTTTTTTGGCTAGGGCTGAAGGAGCAGCTGGTGAGACAGCTGGGAGCCCCTCCCCTGGAAGAGTTGGTGGGGATGCATTGTTGGTGGAAATGACTAGCCCTAGGAAACAGCCCACTACTGAAATGCCGGGCATTGCACAGAAATGAGCCCTTTCCAAACTGTTTCCTTGTCCTAAGCTTCTGACTGTATTCACTGGCAGATTGTCTTTTAGGAGATTTTGATTATTTTCATTTGAATGATTAGTAATTAAAGTATGGATTTTGGTCAGGAATATTTTATTAACCTGAGGGGGAGGAACCTTTTTTTAAGTTAAAAAGGAGAGAGACAATTGGACAGGGGAACAGTCGCTCTGGAGTCTCGGGACAGCTCTGCTTTTTTGGGCCTGACAAACTTTCTGCCTTGAACAGGTTGCAGTCTTAGAACTTTTCTGTTGCTTGTTTTCATGGAAAACATTTGAGTTTTCCTTTTTTGGCAAACTTGCACCTGACACAAGTCTGGTTTTCCCAGATTTTACTGCCTTACCAAGTCATTTGGAGAAAAATCAAGCTAGTCTCAAAGAATGTTGAAGGCAAATGTTTTAATAAGTAAGCTGGTTAAGAAGTTAATGATGCATTACTTTTTAAATGCATTTGTCATAGAATTATTACTTGAGCGAGTGCCCCCCCCCCAATTGGAACACCTCCATTATTTAAAAAAAACAGCATTGTCAAATGAGCAAAGATAGATTTTGAAGTTTTCACATAACTCTTTTCCAGTATGGTGCTGATTATAGAGTTCAGGACTGACTCATCCTTTTCCGTGGTGATTTCTGGTAGTTTTCTGGACTCAGATGTGAACCAGAGCCCAAGCTAAACCTCTCAGTCTGAGGCAGAAGAAAAAACAAAATCTTTGGAGAGGCTTGGCTTTCTTCAGGGCTTGTCCTCACTGTGGGTGAGGGTGTGCCCTCTAGAAATCAGGAACACTGAGGGTTTCTGACACCCAGCTAATGTAGTTATGTGACCCCAGCCTTGTAAGCATAGGGGCTTGTTTTTAGAGCTGGTCCTTTCATCAAACATGCAAAGCACTTTCTTGGGGGAGGTGAGGGGACTGGCCATTTAGGCAATTTTTCACTGCAATCTCTAGCTTTTCGAAGCATTAAAGACGTTCACTGTGTAGTACTGGTTGACATCGTGGCTCCCATTTAGAGAGCACCCTAAAGATTAGCAGGTCTTGAAGAGCAAGGGTAAATAAGCATCCAGTCATAGTGATCCGTGTTTGTTGTCATTGCTATCTGTCGACATTGGCTTCTTAGCTTAGAAACAATTCTAGGGTTAGCATCATGCCTGAAAGGCTGGGGAGGAGGTGCCCCGCTCTTTCTTCTAGTAACCCAGACATCTCTAGCATGTAGCCACTGGAAATATAACACACACTCAAGACTATTTTAGCCCAGGGCTTCTGAACCTCCGCAAGATTGGGGATAGCTAATTATTTGTTAGGCGTGGTGGGGTGGCAGCATCCGCAGGGTTCTATGCATTGTAGGGTGTTTACCGACATCCTTGACCTCTGCTTGCTAGATACCAGTCACACCTCTTCTCTCCCAGTGCGACAACCAAAAATTGTCACTGGCCCACTGGGGGTGAGGGAGATAGTTACCCACATTGAGAAGCACTGATTGACGGACATAGTTAGTTATGTAGCTGCATGCTTGTGGAAATGCAAATGATTGGGTTTTTTATAGCATGGCAGCTGTCTTCACTTGACGGAGGGAAGGGGGTTGGAATGATAAAATTGTTCTCTTAGGACTCCTCTCATCCCACACAGCACCACAAGACTGGAGATGCTGTTGCATTTTCAAAGGTCCCAGGACTTTGGGTATTACTTCCTATGCCACTAGCCTGGACATGGTGCATCCCTGTGAGTTTATTTCTGCCCTCCTGACCAGTCGCTGGAGAAGGAGATCATGTTTGGTAAGGTGGAGGGTCAGAGAAAAAGAGGAAAACCCCCAATGAGATGGATTGGCCAGGTGGCGGCATCAGTGGACTCCAGTGTGGCAACAGTAGTGAGGTTGGCCTAGGATCGGGCTGTGTTTCAGTCTGCTGTGCATAGGGTCGCTATGAGTCGGTGCTGACTCGATGACACCTAACAACAACAATGGCTCTGTAAAGGAGCTCTGGTAGTGTAGTGGTTATGAGTTGGGCTGCTACCTCAAGTGTAGCAGTTCAAAACTACCAGCCGTTCCGTGGGAGAAAGATGAGGCTTTCTGCTCCCATAAAGATTTACAGCCTCGGAAACCCTATACAGGGTTGCTATGAGTCGGAATCGACTCCCCCGGCGTACTACCACTACCACCACCACATGGCTTGGTAGGAGTCCTGGTGTGGCACTGTGGGTTAATGCGCTGGACTGCAAAGTCAGTTTGAACTACAAGGTCGGTGGTTCAAGCTCACCAGCCTTTCCTCAAGAACCCTATACAGGGTTGCTCTGGGTCGGAGCCAACTCAGTGGTTCTTAACAACAGCAACAGTGGCTCTGTAAGATAAAGCACTTGACCCTAAGGTCAGTTTGAACTGCCATGTTGCTGGTTCAAACTCACCAGCTGCTCCTTGGAACTCTCTACAGGGTCATTATGAGTCAGAACTGACTTGATGACATTTAATGGCAACAATAATAAACCTAGTAAGAGTTCTTGGCATGGCACTGTAGGGTAAGCACTGGACTGCTAACCACAAAGTCAATGGCTCACACTCATCATCCACTCCTAAGAAACCCATTTAGGATTGCTGTGAGTTGGAAACAACGTGACAACATTTAACAACAACAACATCATAGACCTAACAAGGAGTCCTGGTGTGGTGCTGTATAACAAGCTAACTGAAAGGTCCTTGGTTGAAATCCACCAACAGCTCCTAGGGGAACCCTATGCAGGGTTGCTGTGAGTCAGAACCAGTTTAATGGCACTAACAACAACAGGCCTAGTAAAGGAGCCCTAGTGTCGAGCTGCAGGGTAAGCACCTGACTGCTAACTACAGAATCCTCAGTTCAAACCTATCAGCCACTCTGCAGGATAAACATGAGACTTCCTGTTTCTGTAAAGATTTGCATCCTCAGAACCTTACATATGAGGGTTGCTGTGAGTCCAAATTGACTCGGAGGTAGACAGTGTGTTCATTGTATCAGGTAGTTATAATGAGCGTGTTGATTATTTGCAGAAGTTATTTTTAAAAGACCATAGCTTGTGTATAGGAGGAAGATCTTTACAGATTTTTTTAGTTTTAGTTTTTAGATATCTGTAGCGTAGTGGTTATGAATTGGGCTGCTAACCTCAAGGTCAGCAGTTTGAAACTACCAGCTGTTCTGTGGGAGAAAGATGAGGCTTTCTGCTCCCTTAAGATTTGCATCCTTGGAAACCCTGTGCAGGGTCACTATGAGATGGAACCGACTCCATGGTACTTAACAACAACAAAAACTACCCCCCAAAAAAAAAAAAAAAATCACCTTTGCAAGTTGAGGTTCAATGTACCATTATGCTCAAAGACTAATTTATCCATATGTGTTCCTCTTTGTAGGCCCACCTCCTAACTGGATGAAGGATTTTATCCTCACAGTTTCTATAGTAATTGGTGTTGGAGGGTGCTGGTTTGCTTATACACAGAATAAGACATCAAAAGAACACGTGGCAAAAATGATGAAAGACTTAGAGAGTCTGCAAACTGCAGAGCAGAGTCTAATGGACCTACAAGAAAGGTGAGTCAAAACAGGTGTCATTTTTGTTGTCTCTAGGAAAATACAGTTCCTAAGAATGCAATCAGGACATGTGCTTACACATTTAGATTTAGGTGAGTACATGTGGCCTGAATGTCTGCCCATTTCTTTTCGTATTTTAACAAAAGTATCAATGTGTTATCATTTCAGATTTATTAGAAATGCATATGCTTGGCAATAGATAGATAGAAAGAAGACCACTGGAAATAATCAAATATAGGTAGAATTATGTGAGTAGTTGAATTGTATTTTTTAGTTTGAATTCAAATCATTATGCATTTCATGCATCTGTTTGCTGAAGAGTGTTTCTCTACTGTCCCTGTGCTCTGAATCACAGATAACCAGAAGTATGACGTGGTAGGCTGCCTGATACTTTTATTATCTTGACTTAACGGTTAATATTTTTAAAATGCTGTGGATTCAGTAAAATAATGAAGTCTGGAAACCTTTGTGAGAAATGTTCATTTTTATTGTTGTGTAAGGCTTGAAAAGGCACAGGAAGAAAACAGAAATGTTGCCGTAGAAAAGCAAAATCTAGAGCGCAAAATGATGGATGAGATCAATTACGCCAAAGAGGAGGCCTGCAGGCTGAGAGAGCTGAGGGAGGGAGCTGAATGTGAACTGAGCAGACGCCAGTACGCAGAGCAGGAATTGGAACAGGTATTTACACTAAAACAAAACCCAAAACTTGTTAGGATATATGTAGTTCCACTCTGAAGAACCCCGCCTGTTTGTGTGTAGTCGTCTATGTGTAGTTCCATTTTATACGGTTAATAAGAAGCATTTGTTCATATAATTAGCATTGGTCAAAGTCTGTGTGCTAATACAACAAAATAGTAATTACAAAATAAAGTAACCATCATGTTCACACATTCATGTTTTGAATCTTATCCTGAGTCGTGCTGATCATCTTGAGCAAATTTAAAGTATTTATTTTAATATATTATCGTTAGTATGTGTGCATTTCCAACTGTCTCCTAGTAAAATAAAGTGTATCTAATGTTGAAATGCTCTGCAAAGGTAAAAGATCTCTACTGAGCATCCAGTTGAATCCTATTAAATATTTTAGAACAGGATTTGCCATCTAGAAGATGCTTCTTCCATTCAGTTTCGTTTGAGACTGAATGTGGTATTCTCTGCAGAGGGTGGAGGTGGGGGCTGGAAACACTTTCCTAATCCGTGTGACAAATTACCATAAATTTAGTGGCTGAAAGCAATACAAATGTATTCTTACAGTTCGAAAAGAGTCTACAGTCAGTGCCAGGCTGTGTGTCCTTCTTGAGACTTTAAGGGAGAGACTGTTTTCTTGCCTTTTCTAGCACATTGACTGCCTGCATTCCTTAGCGCTAAGCTCCTTCTTCCGTCTTCAAAGTACATCACCTCGACTTTCATCCCACCTCCTTCTTCTTTGACCCTTTTTACAGATAGTGAGTTTGAAGAAAGAAAGGAGGATTTAGAAGACTTGCTCAAAATTAGAATCTGACTTGGTCTTAAAGCAAGGGTAGAACCTAGATAGTCTGCTTTTAACCTTCTCAAATGTTAAATACTGCTTTACTTTTAACCTTTTCAATCAAATGTTAAATGGGAAATTTCATATATTATGTCATGAGTGAAGTTCAATTTCAAGTCATGGGAAAATGCACAACGATTATTACTACTCACTTCAGGATGGTCATTTTTGGCAGGAAATCCTGAATGAATGAATGTAGCCATTTCTTTTGTTAAGTATTAACTCCTCTATCTTATTCCTGGTTACCTGTTTTTTACCTTCTTCCTTGTAAGGAGTTTGTTCTTTTAAATTGATTCTGAGACATATTTTTCAGACATGCCTCATTTACCTGATAAATTCTTATCTGCACGAACCCCGGAGTTACACTGCCCACCCCCATCCCCTATTAAACCGTGTTCAAGAATTTGATCTTAGCCCTGTACTTCTCAGGGAACTCCCTACTGTTCCCACCAAAACATCAAGCTTCTGGTTTGTTCTCAGTACTAAAGAGCTTGTTATCTATTTTTGTAAACTTGGCAGTTAAGAAAAAGCCAATCAGAAAGCAGTAGTGGGAAATTCTTCTATGGAGATAGAGCAATAGGAGTATGTTACAGATGACTGGCTCACTGTGAGAGAGAGGACGCAATATGAAAAGGACTCAAGAATCGCAAACATTCTAATCCGAGGATTCTGGCATAGTGACCTCGCACGCCTCAGTAGGCCCTGAGGTTGTTACCCTGATAATCATGACACAGTACAAGCTGCATGTCCCAAGGCACCCAGACATGGAGGGAAGTGGATAATGTATTTTAGAAAGAACTCTCGTTCTCTCCCAACGTGATCACAGTGATAACAAACACAATTTTCTGAGTGCTTTTTGTATGACAGAAATGTATGTTTTGCACGTTGCAAGTGGTATGCTCATAAATTTTATCCTCACAGTATACAGATATTATCCTCATTTCTAGATGAAATATGTAGAGACATTAACCAGCTTGTCTGAGGTCCACAGATTTTACATGACAGAAGCAAGATTTTTGTGTGTCTTATTCTAAAGTCCATGTTTTTCTGATACCACTAATAAAAGTTTTGTTTGTATACCAGCACCAAGAAATCCAAAAAGCAAATTGGGAAACAATTTGATTTACAGTAGCATCTAAGAGACTAAAATACCTAGGAGTAATTCTAACCAGAGATATGAAAGACTTAATACAGTGAAAAGTTAAATACTGCTAAAAGATATTAAAGAAGACTTCAGTAAATAAAAACGATGTTGCATGTTTATAGGTTGGAAGATTGAAATTGTTAAGATGTCAGTACTACTCACAGCAATCAGCAGAATCAATGTGATCTCTATTAAAATGCCAACAACTGATTTTACAGAAATAAAAAAACCAATCCTCAATGTTATAGAAAGGCAAGAGGTTTCAAATAGTTAAAACGATTCTAAAAGAGAAGAACAAAGTAGGAAGACTCCTGGTTTTGTAACTCACCACTTGTCTGTCATTTTGTCATACTGTGATGGCTTGTGTGTTGCTGTGACTCTGGAAGCTATGTCACAGATACGTTAAATACCAGCAGGGTCACCCAAGGTGGACAGTCTTCAGCTGAGCTTCCAGACCAAGACAGCCTAGGAAGGAGAAGCAGACTCCTAATGACTATTTCGTCACTGAAAACATTATGAATAACAGTGGAACACTGCCAACACCAGGGTATTGACTACTGCAACATGATGAAAAGCACCAGGATATTTTCAGATATACCGGAAGATGAGCCTCTCAGGTTGGAAGACACCCGAAATATGACTGGGAAAGAGCTGCCTCCTCAAAGTAGAGTTGACCGTGATAACACAAATGGAGTAAAAGCCTTTGAAAGGACCTTCATTTGCTGATGGTACACAACTCACAATGAAAAGAAACAGCTGCAAATACCCATTAATAATTGAAACATGGAATGTACGAAGTATGATTCTAGGAAAATAGGAAATTGTCAAAAATGAAATGGAATGCATCAACATCAGTATTCTAGGCATTAGTGAGCTGAAATGGACTGGCATTAGCCATTTTGAAGCTGACAATCACATGGTTTACTATCCTGGAATGACGAATTTAAGAGGAATGGTGTCGCATTCATCATTAAAAAGAACACATCAGGATCTGTTTTGAAGTACAATACTGTGTGATAGGATAATATCCATATGCCTACAAGGAAGACCTGTTAGTACCACTATTATTAAGACTTGCACACCAACTACTAAAGCCAGTGATGATGAAATTGAAGAATTCTACCAACTTCTCCAATCTGAAATTGATCAAACATGCATGTAAGATGTATTGGTAACTACTGGTGATTGGAATACAAAGATAGGAGACAAATAGTAAGGATCAGTAGTCAGAAAATAGGGCCTTGGTGATAGAAATGATGCTGGAGATCTCTTGATAGAATTTATCAAGACCAATGACTTCTTCATTGCAAATAC